ATGAACTATGACATGAGACTTTTCAGACAACTATTAAATTATGTAAAATATACATACGTAACTACTAGTAATAACCACAATTATTATTTTCTTTTTATCTGATCATTTTCCATTGCGTTTACACTATTAGGATTCTATGTATAACATGTTCTCACCTTTCTTAATGTTTTTTCAAATATACAATTCAAGTGAGAACCATAACATGGTCGAGTTAAAGAATACTATATTGGTAATCAGATTATTATTAAAACTTTACTAAATTTCCTCTTTAAAACTGTTTACTTGTAGTTCTTCAACTTTACCTTTTCTCATCGAATAAAATTTATGGTGTTAAACAAAACTTTAAACTAATTTTTTCACAGTTTTCACAGTTTCTTTCACAAAAGTAAGCTAATTCAGGGGTGTAAAATTTTCTCTTAAAGCCGTGATCATTAAGTCTTTTATACCTTATTCAAAGAGGGATGTTTCAGAGATCAAAGAATTATAACATCAAGGAACTTTCAATTGTTCCTTTATTTTTTTTAGATATTCAATCGTGGTGGGAGGTGCCAAGTATAGCACACTTCTGCTCATTATTTAGGGCTGCCTTCAATCTTCTGGACTTTGATATTGAGGTACATACCTGAATGCTGTCTCGTATGAGTAGGCATTGTACAAGAGATTTGTTAGTACCGCTTTCAGCTTCCTGGATATTAACTAGATCGTGCTTTGGCTTTATTAAGTTACTACTAATGGCTTATGCATTATTATTTGGTTACTGCATTGATTAATGTTTCAAGCGATGTATGCCTATATGTATACTTGTTCATTAATCTTCTATATTATTCTAGGACTTAGAGGAAGCTTTGTTAACGGATGGTGGAACCGAGGGACATTTAGTACAGGAGCTAATAGTCAAATTACTTGAAGGTTGTTTACCCAATGACACTCGCAATGACATCTCCACCTTTAATTATCAGATGTTTCTTCGCAGACTATTTCGTAAGAAATGTCAGGTAAAATAAATCTTTTACAATTTAACATTAAATAGAAACTGAAAGACGCTATGTTTGCATTACTACTGAAAATAATTAATATGTTCTTTTTCTTTATTTTTTAAGGAATACAAGTGTGAGAATCCCTTTAATACAGATGTAGATTTTGAGTTATTGCCTCTTCGTCAGAAAGTAGCAATATTGAGAGCCCTCTGCGACTTCAGGCTTGACGCTGAAGACGTGGTATGTATTGCAAATAAACTCATCTTGTTTATTTTTTATTATAACTTAATGTTTTAATAAATGTTTCTAATATCTTGTTGTAATTATTCTTTTGCTCTTTGTATTCGTTCACAGGAGCATTCATTAAGTAATTTGGACTCGGATAGTCTGCGAGTCGAACCTTTAGGACATGATCGTAAGAATTCTGCCTATTGGTACTTTTACGGCACTCGATTATATAGGGAGGACTACATTGATACTTCTAACAGCATCTCACACAAACAGAAAAGTAAACCTAGGGATAAAAAGCGTAAAAGACGACGAAGCAGAGTGGCGAAAGAGGAAGAGGAAGAGGAGGAGAAGAAGGAAGACTGTTTAATATACGAGGAGGGGAAAGAAAGTGTCTGGCAAGTTGTCTGCTTTACTCAGCAGGATTGGAGTCGTTTAGTTGAGAAATTTCGCGATTCGGTAATTGTCTCATTGAACGAGTGTTAATCGCTTTCTCCTTTAGATCTGTTTAATAATGTTGTTATACTACTTAGGAGTACGATACCGAACGTAAGCTCTACCGTACTCTGTCCAAGGATTTCATGCCCGAAATTCCCAAGCTTTTTGACTTAAAAGAAAAGCAACAAAGACGCAAGTTATTGCAACGCAATAGTTCGCGAGTTCTTCGTAGCCACGAGCCTGCAACACAGATGGAAACAGTCATGGTCAGATCGAAGATCAAAACTAAAACAAATAAAGGGAGCAAAAAGGGGACACAGAACTCGAAGAATGTTTACGTTAAAGAAGAGGCACCGACATCGTTGTCTTCGCCGCCCGTTCAGAAGAAAGGACGGCAAACTAATAATTCTTTAGCGTCGGCTGTTGGTCAAATTGTAATCCATACCAGGGACGAAGTGGAAAGTTTAGAGAAAAAGAAAGGGGTTGGAAGTAACAGTGATGGGAATTATGTATCTTCTAACTATGGGTATAAATATGGATATTCGTTTGGAATCGAAGAAGAAGAACGCCGAGTTGGGATGCACAAGGTTCTTGAGAGTCTCAAGGATCATGTGGATGCGTGGCCGTTCATTGATCCCGTTGACGAAGAATATGCGCCACGGTATAATATAATTATAGATTATACAGTAATGTGTCCCTGCTAGTATGTTTATCAGTTTTCTGTCTACTGGGTTACCAATTTTTTCCAACTCTTTCTGGACGCACTTTCAAAAGAGGCAATTACAGTTGAGAAGAATAAAGAGACAGACAAAATAAGCGAACTATAAATGAAAAGTGAAATCGTCTGCCGACGTTCATTAATGGTTTTTGGTAGTAACCTATTAGAGATGCATTACTGTACAGTCATGTATATTTTTGGACTTGTTATTAACATCACACCGATATTACTTTTTCCATATAGATACTATAGTGTTGTACGGAAACCGATGGATCTCAGTACAATGGAAGAGAAACTCGATGGTGGTTTGTACAAGAGTTTAAGTGAATTTAAACGGGACTTTTGTCTCATAGTGGACAACTGTAGGCAATATAATGGTTCTGATAATGGTTAGTATTATTTAGATATACTTACATGCAACATTCTTATGTGGTCACACTTCAATTTTCAATGCCGTGTAACCTTTTTATAGAGTATACTGAAATGGCTTTCAATCTTAAAGACGCGTTCGATAAGGCTGTAAATCGGTATTTAGAATCTGAAACATCTAGCGACGAGGATCCGTCGTCGCCAAAATCGTTTCTCGCAACGCCTGTGTCACCGTCGTGTCCTTCTCGAGTTTCTTCTCCACATCAAAACCGCAAACGATCGAAAAAGTCTACGAAAAAATCGAAATCGTACAAATCCGAAGGCAAAGGAAAGTCCAAGGTGAATGAGAAGAATGACGAAGAGGAAAAGCGGGGGAAAAATTACAAGCTTCCAAAGAAGAAGAGGGGAAAGAAAAAGAGTAAGAAAGCAAAGGACGAGGAATCCGTGAACGAGGAGGAACAAGAAGATCAGGAGAGCGAGGATGCTATGTCCGAGTCAAGTATGGTAACGTCAAAAAGAAGGAAACACATAGAGGTGAACAATTTATTGTTGAAAACCAAAAAGCTGTCGTCCAAAGAATCGGAAGAGTTAAAGAAAATGAATAAGAAAATTAGTAAGGAACGTCATCAGCAGAAAAAAGAAGCAGAAAGCGTGCGTCCGATGAAAGAAACAAAAGAGAATAAGAAACGGAAGGAAGACTTTGAGGAAGATTACGAATCCCTAGTCATTGCGAAAAGTAAAAGTAGAAAGATTGAGAAACAGGAACTCGAAGAGACCGAAATACTTACAGAGAATGCAAAAAAGAGTAAGGCAAAGAAAGTAGAGCCTCCTCCAGTAGTAGATGACGAGGTATCCGAGAACAAGGACAAGACACAGCATATCAAAACGAAAAAGAATCGAAAGAAAGAGAAAACGGCATTGAAAACGTTGAAGTCGGAGGATAAATCTGAGAAGAACCGCGGAAAGGACAAAGAAAAGAAATCAAAACAGAAAAACGACGACGTGAAAAACGGAGAAATATCCAGCGAAATAGATTCCAAAGATTTAGAGCTAGAAAGCGATGTAGATTCAAAGGAGACCCCTACGTCTAAGAAGATTACTGCATTTATAGGTGATAAGGACATAGAATCGTTGGACGGTTTAAAGGATAAGCTCAACGAACGACGGCGAGAGGAGAAGCTGAAGGGCGAGAAAGAGAAACAGAAGAAAACAGGGAAAAGCGACTTTCACAACGTGTATTCAAAAAAAGTGCCTTCAAACGGTAGTACCTTTAACGACAGCGACAAAGCCGGCGTCAAACGACCAAAGTTAAAAAAGGGAATGAAAGAAGAAAAAGTTCCTACCACGGAGGATCCTGTGAAAACACAAGACCAAGAGACAAGCGAAATTAAAAAAGCAAAATCAACGAGCAAGCATACCAAAGGATTTGGAAAGGAGGAAAGCTCGATACAAGCATTGAATCAGGCAACAGAGCAAACACTCCATGTAAGAATATATCCTATTTCACGTTTAGATAATTTGTTTGATAATATTGCGATACATTGTTTTATGGTTATTTTTCTTTCTGCCTCTTAATAGGACATCAACAAATGGTTAGATGACGCACCAAGACTCTCTGAATTTTCCTCTGGGAGCGATTCTCCGATATTTCATTCTTCTGTTGAATCTGCTCGGTCTGGACCAAAGGTAGAAGCGCCGAGAAAACGACCAAGTTCAATTAAGATCTTTGGTCCTCATGGGCCCAGTAGACCAAAAAAGATACAACGCACGATAGATCGTTTGCAGCCTGGTAAAAGTAAGGGCAACTTACTGTTAAAGAAACCGCTTAATTTACCTAGCGTAAGTGTTAACGAGACGGCAGACCGCCCGTTGACCAGCGATAGCGACCCGACGAACAAGAACACTGACGAGGAACCAAAACTTAGTTTAGGAACGGTCTTGAAGAATGTGGACTCCATTCAGTTGATTTGTAAAAGTTTAGTGTCCTCGCCAAATCCTAATTTGTCGAACGACGACGAGGAAGAAGATCACAGTGTTACGCCAGTAGCCCCGGTACCTGCATCTAAGGAAGAGAACTCTTCGACCGGAAAGCCGGCTGCGCAAACACCTGTGGAGGTAGAAGAATCTAAAGATAGTCAACCCAATGCGAAGGAGATGCAAAAACCTAAAGCAGCAACGCCAAATTTGAGTGCCTGGTTCAAAGCGTTCGGTGCACCAAAATCGAAGAAGAAGGATGACGAATCCGAAGATGGTGCAACAAAGAAAGATGGCGAGCTGCAGGAAGTGTTCTGTGGGAGACAAAGACGAATGAGTACTGGCGGTAGTAGTGTGAGTGAATCGGTTTCCAGTTTTTCTCAAGAATCGCCGCCAGGACGATCGGGTCGGTCTCCGCAGGCGCAACCCATTATAGCTTCTGTAGAACCACAAATAAGAGGAGCTGGATTTTATCAGGATGCTTTGTCGACGGGAAGCAGTCCTTACAACAGTCCCTATTATGCCACTCCGCCGAGGTACAGCGCTCAGTTACCACCCACTCCTTCACCTCAAAATCATCCTCTTTCTCCAGCTTACCCGTCATCGTCTTACGAGCAAGCACCTCTTTACTCTCAGGTGCCGCCTCAGGCACCTCCTCAACAATCCCATCAATCATTTCAGAAGTCACCGCAGGAAAATTCTGGAGAAGTATATCATCAATTGTCGCCCACTTTCCCTCAGCGTTCTCCGCAAGCTAACTTTCCCCAAAGTTCGGCACAGAACGAATCGTTCAGTCAACAAATATCACCAGCTAATCAAAATCCGTCTCCAGTCTACTCGCAACACTCGCCTCAACCGATACAGCAGGTGTTTCCCCAACCTTCCCCTCAACCACTACCGTCGAATTACTCTCAACCATCGCCTCAACAATCGCCCACCCCCAAATACCCACAACTGTCACCGCAACAGAATACCACCAATTACTCCCAGCCTTCACCTCAAGCATCTAATTATTCTCAAGCTTCACCTCAGCAACCTCGTTCTCCCTACTCCCAGCCTTCGCCTCAAGCACCACCACCAAATTATTCTCAGCCGTCTCCGCAACAGCAGCATTCTCCTTACGCGCAATCTCCTCAGCAGTCGTCCGGGTACTCTCAACTGTCTCCTCAACCACCGTCAAACTACTCTCAGCCATCGCCTCAACCTCCACCCGTCTATTCACAACCGTCGGAATCTTCAAATTTTCCTCACCCGTGTCCTCAAACTCGCCCTGCTGGCTACTCGCAGCCGTCGCCTCAACCTCTTACAGGATACTCGCAACCGTCCCCTCAGCCACGAAATTATTCTCAACCATCGCCTCAGCAAATTCAAACCTTCCCGCAACCGTCGCCGCAAGCAACACCCACGTACTCTCAGACTTCCCCACAGAGTGCGAACTATTCTCAACCTTCGCCGCAACAGTCGGTCAAATATTCCCAACCCTCTCCTCAGCAACCTGCAAACTATTCGCATCCTATACACTCGCCACAGACGCCTCAAAATTATTCACAGCTGTCTCCTCAACAAGCACCACCCAACAATTATTCCCAACCGTCTCCGTCGTCTCAACAGTCTCGTAACTACTCGCAAACGTCACCATCGCCTCAGCAATCTCGCAGCTACTCGCAACCGTCACCATCGCCTCAACAATCTCGGAACTACATGCAACCGTCGCCGTCGCCTCAACAGTCCCGTAATTATTCCCAGCCGTCACCGCAACAGAAGACAGCCTGTACGTCGCAATCGTCACAGCAAACTTCCAGTTACTCGCAACCGTCACCTCAACAAAATGTAAACTACACATCGCAACCACAAACCTCTAAAAGTTCGGAGGAATGTTCACCGAGTCCAGCTACACCGACAACATATTCTCAAGGGTTCAAACACAATCACGGCTACATACAATCACCGGCGCCATCATCGGTCAGTGAAACGGAGCATCGATCGGAGTATCTAAAGTCCTCCAGCAACGTCGAGAAGTCTTCGAGCAGTGAACAACAGAGAAATTTCACCGTTCCAACAGAGACGTCGCTAAACCTGAATACGAATCATCAGATCTATCAATCGCCGAATCAGTATCCGCCAACGTTCGGGAACAACTATCCAAACCTGGACTTACAGAGATCGAGGCCAGAACAGCCGCAGCAACAGCAACAAGCGTCTCAAGAACGCCCCAGTTTCACCGACCTTAGCGAATCTCTCAACGCGCAGAAGTATGTTCAACAACGTTCGTTCCTTGGTAAAACGTCGACCGCCAGTGATCAGCTGTCGACGCAGGATCAACAATCTCAGCTATTAGCGTTCCAACAGAACCTGACGACGCACGAATCTCTCTATCCGAGCGGTTTCCAATCGTCTGGGTACGCGATGTCAAACTCGAGACCGGTTTATCCTAGCCCACACTATTTCGATGCCAGTTCGAAGACTGCCACCGGTGGACCTGTAAATAGCTCGGCCAGCAACCTTCCGCCCGTAAAGAAACGTATATACAATGAATCATCCAGCGACACAACTCGCGGCCTGACACAGGAGGCTGCAGCGAGATCTGGCCAAGAACAGTTCGCCTTCGATCCGATAATGGCGTTGCCGCAACCGGAAGCGATTTCAGCTAGTCAATTCGATGCCTCGTTCGTTGGAAATTTGGCCGATTCGGTGGCCACAAACCCGGCATACGCTCGTCTAGGTCTAGGCTTAGTGGGTCGTGCAAGCAAAGAGCAACAGCAATTGTTAACAATCCCTCGGCCACCGCCGACGAAACCGGAACACCTCGCTTACGCGCGCAGTCCAGCCACTGGAACCGCGGAATTGGATCTGAATCTTCTTCAGAGTCTGCAAACAGCAGCCGCGAAAAATACTCAGGGCATACTGTCTATGTCGCGTAGAGGTGGAGAAGGACCGGTGGCGGGTAACACGTCTGCGCCAACAAAAACGAAAAAAAGCAGGAAGAGCAAACAGCAACAACAACAGCAGCAGGAGCAACAAAACGTTGCGAATGTTTCGTCGGCAGTGAGCACAGAGCCGCAACCCGCACCTGGTATACCTGGCTTTTCACAATACACCGGTACACCAGCGGATTCGATCGGTCTGAAAAATAGCGGCATGGTCCCGCCAGCTGGCAGTGCCTTCAATTTCGCCGCATCGACCAGCACCACTACCAGTTCACCTTTCTACGATAAAGACCCATCGGCTGCGGCGGCAGCGTTCGCCTTTTTGGACGAGTTTCGGAATCCGAGCAGTTATTACAGTATGGCGCTCAGACAACAGCAACAACAACAACAGCCACAGGTGCCGCCGGTCACGGACGCTACCCAGCAGGCTTGCAACAAACTCAGCAATCAACCGCCGAGAAATTATCCGCCTCATCCTTTTCTTCATTCTGCGCAGAGATCAGCAGCGTACGGACCACCAGTCTCGGCTTATGTCACGCCTCACGGACCGAATTTAACAGTGGACCCGACTGCATACCAACAGTACATTCATTCCCTCTATGCACTTCAACCGCCGCCGCATCATCATCGACCGTCCTGGCTTTAGCTGTTAAAATCTGTGTGATGGGCATCTAAATATTTCGACTAGCGCTGTAAAAATTGAAACGTTCTAACTATTCAAACTTCGAATCGTAGCAAATACTTCCAATTATTTGAATATCATCCTGTATCAATACCTTTCAAGCGGTTACTTCGTACTTGTTAGATTCGCTTGATAGACTTCTCTTTGGCCCAATTCCTTTTCGATATAGCACTGAACAACTTCCAAAATTTCGAATACTGTAATAACACAATTTGGTAAACTTAACAGGAATTCGAATTCAAACAATTGTCGTCAATCAATCTATTAGAAATTGTCACTTGATAGGAATGATATCCAAATGATTCGAAATAATTAATACAATTGTAAGTTCGAATAATTCGAACTTTATTTACAGCCCAAATTTGTATGACACTTCGGTGGATATGCCGTCCCTCGTTGAGCGGAAGAAACAGCGTTCGAAATAGACGAGCACCTCTGTCAAAAAGTATTTAGCCATTACTTCACTGTAATTATGCTACTTTTAATCGAATATTTTTTAGTGATCGTATTATTTTATACAAGAAAATTTTTCTTGCCTACATACAATTGTTGCCATTGACAGCAAACAAGATATAGGATAGATAATATCTTATACATTCTTATATCTCACTGACAGAAAACTTCATAGTTTCCGAATTTTTGTTGACTTGGAGCAAAATAAGATAGTGACGCTATTAGTGGTGTAAGAACTTCTATTGAATGTTTCGGAAGTGACTTGCTAATTTTGTTAGGAGTAACAATTAAAGTGCAATCATATTTTTATCATCTTTAGTTTATTTTGTACGTATTGAGAAAGTTATTGTATATGTATTATTTTAAGTGTTACGTGCTAATTTTAGCTCTTGAGTTCAATTTAGTTTTGAATATCGCGATCCATAATTATAGAGGTTATAATGAGATAATTGTTCTTTTACGGCAGTGCTCGGAACGCAACATTGAGTCGCGGGGAGCGAGTGTGGCTGCAGGCGGTAGTTAGGAAACTGAACCAAATGTTGCGTTTCGAAACATTCCGAGCACTGTTTTACGAGATCAGTATCTCAAAAATTCTTACGTATATCTCTATAAAACGTTGAATTTATTCTATATCTTGTCTTTGCTAACATTAAAATTTATTGTTCAATATGACTACCGAATTTTACATTAATATCGTGTTCAGTACTTTTCTGTGAACGCTGTTTCTTTAAATATTGCTTGTCATCGCATTCACTGTTACAACTCCTTTTCTTCTTTTTTTCTAACCGAAGTAGTACCAGTGTTTTTCTTGATCAACTTTGTTCGATAACAGATCGGTTGTAGTACAATATTAACCGATATCTTTTGGTAAAGAAGGGGGGCAAACAATTTATTTATTTTATAGATCTTTTCTTGAACATTTATTTTTTCGTGTCGTCAAACAATTTGGTAATTTCTTCGAGAAGAACTCTGGTACTGGCAATGAAAGATAACAAAATTTCTAATCGAGTATGTTCCTCAAGAACATTGATAGAAACACCGTGAACTTGTGAATGTCAAGCAGTAAAAGAATCACGCAATCATGGTCGTCCATTTATTTTATTTTCTTCTGTATATGTGTACTTTTTACTGATTGACTAGAGATTAACGGATTTTGAAAGCTCTTTAAAATTCGGGTGCCGGATTTTCCACCGGGCTGTCCTCCACCCCCTGTTTTCGCATTTGTTTCCCGTTTTTTACCGAAAGCGATACGAACTTTGACATTTTTACACGATTTATCAGGAAAACAGAAAAGAAAAAGATGTTTAGCTTTTATCGGATAATCTACTTATGTAGTCATATGTACATAAAGAATAAGCCTACATCACGTGGGAATTTTTGATAGTTCTTTTTCTAATGAACTAGCCGACGACTTAGATGCGTGAAGTTCAGTCGCTAGTGACCGGAAGTAACCTTCTATCAAAAGTTCCTCTATCTACTACCGCTCTTACAGCGCTACTATCTATTTCTCTTTCTCGATGTATCGGGGATATGAATTATGCAATATTCAATTTTCTAGCGAAAGAAACGAGTTTATCACGACAGTGCTCGTAACATGCCCAGGCTGTCGTAAATATTTCGCCTTTTCCCGAATTTATGTTTTAACAAACATAAAATGAAAAGAGAATGGCTAGACAAAATGTAGGGGTATACGTGACTTCTAAGTTCGAAGAATTTCTGTATGATATCGAGCGCACTGTTGCCGGTGTATCTTATGTAGAGTATATAGATTCGATAGTATGTAAGCTAGAATTCGTTTCTTTGTATATAAAATACATATCCTTCATAGACGATGTGCTCGATGTAAAGAAAGATCTGCAAAGTGAAAAACTTTGTAGAATCGTCCGCGGTAGGTTACGAATGGAGAAGTATAGGGAACTTTCTGAAGAATGAATATACGTATGTGTGGGTGCGTGTGTGAGTGCACGCGCAAGTGTGAATATGAGAAACCGATACGTGTGTGTGTATACGTATTTGTGTATACGTATTTGTGTGCGCGCGAGGAAGAGGACGAAAATGTAATACGCCGCAATCATACATTAACCCACCTTATTGCTAAAAAAACTGATGGAAGCGGTATATTAAAACTTATAAATATATACATATATATTGTAAATGTATATTGTAAATGTATCGATGACAGATTAAAGCACAGTTTGTTACAAAACCCTTTATTAGTTTTTATTCATCCATTACTTATAGGTAACACATCTAATATTATATAAAATTATATATAGTTATTGCCTCAAACATCATACTTCTATCAATAATTTAAGTGATTTTATAAAATAGAAATTGTTGACGTAAAATATGTCTCGGTAGATATAGTTATATAATTTCGTATTTTCTCATGATCTACTGACCTTGCTAATAAATCATAAGCATCGCTAATCGATTTAATTGATCGTGGAGAAATGCTTGCATAGATTTTATCTTACTACTTGAATTTTATTCGAAGATAACAGTAAACGTATATCAGGACATCTGCTTTAACACCATTTTATTTTGTTAATACGCAGGTATGTGGTAAGATTTACCGAATCGATCATTTTTAAAGTGCATATCCGCCTATTCCAATTTCATTAAAAACGCGATAAAACGAAACATGATAGTATGCGTGGAATGTGAACATGATAATGAAGTGCGAATTCTGCATCATTTCTGATTGTAAGTTTGAGCTATAAAGATGACAATTGCAAAGATAGCAAAAAAAATTTATAATTAACACGAAGGTAGTGAAGTGGTTTCAAGGAAAGTGCACGTGCGAAGCCATACAGTTAGTAGTGAACCATCTGTGAAATAGCATGGTTTGATATCTTCCTTGTAAAATGTATGTTTATAAACAAAATTATTCTGTTTATTTCAATATATCAAAATTAATTGTGTCGTTTTATGGATAAATACGACTGAGAAGATTCTTTCAGTCCAACAGCAGTATGTTTTTTTTTTCTATTTCGAAGCATCTTTCCATTTAACACAAAACATTTCATTATTTAATCATTGTTGACTGTGACATATATGTATGTACATATAGGCAAATATGTCATGTGTAAATGATATGAAATCACAACTGCACTTACTCAGCGATGCGTTTCGTTTGCAGATAACGCTTAAACCTTTAACCTAGCGTGCGATCTGTACATGTTCTCAAAATGTTTGAAAATATAAACATTGAATTATTACCAATAAAAGCCCACTATTTTTTATTCAATGCTGGTAAGTCAAATACTTTAATGTTTGAAAATATATGTAATGAATATATTAAAACAATTATATTAATCATTTTCAGCCACAGGACCAATAGTGCCATTTCTGCCAACAATTGCAAAACAATTGGGATTTTCTGGATTTTTAGTAGGCACAATATACACAATATTACCGATTTCTGGTTTAATAGCTAAACCTTTGTTTGGTGGTTTGGCTGATAAATATAAAATTCATAAAACCTTGTTTTTAATATTTCAAGTAGTCGTTGCTATAGCTATGTTTACAATAAATTTCATTCCTGAAAAAGACAAAAGTGCAAGTGTAATTTTTAATTGTAATGCTGTAGCATCTTTAGAAATCTGTTCAAAAAATGGATTTCCAAATGAAGTTATACAAAATGTAATAATAAATGATCATAAGGATGTATCATGTCAGGTATGTGTTTTATGATATATTGTAAATTGTAATAAGTAATTGCATCTTGATTTATCATATTTTCTCCCCTTGATCTTCTAGTTGTCTTGTCAAGGCAGAAAAAATATTTATACTGAAATATGCAAAAGCTGGAAAGCAAAGCAATTTTGTAATATAACAGAATCAAATATTTTGGATACGAATACAATCGATTTTAGTATAGGATTTGATGAATTTCATGATATTCAAGTAAGTTTCCTGCATACTAATCGTGTATCTAATTAATACATAATAGAAGAAGTGAAAACATTATGATTTTTAGCTGAAGGAATGTGTGGACATCATTGTATATAATGCTACATTCTCAGATGGTGCTGTACATGAACCAACTTGTGACAAGTACACTAGAATTTCATGCATAATGACATGTCATAATAATCCAACTTTTAATCAGCTTTTGGAAAAGGCTGATGTTTATCATAATACTACTGAATCTTCAGGGTATCAATTTCACTCATTTTTATGTGCAACTGTAGTCAGCTGGATTGGAATGGCAGTTGTAGTTACTGTAGCAGATGCTATTTGTTTAAATCTTCTTGGTCAGTATATTACATTCGCTAATTAAATATCTTATAAACCTTATATTTCTGTATTGTAGGAACTGAAAAAAGAAAAGAGTATGGAAAACAAAAAATGTGGAGCAGTGTTGGATTTGGTATTATTGGTATTAGTGCAGGATATTTAGTAGATACATTCAGTGAAGGAAAATCTTACAAAGACTATACTTGTATATTTTATATTATGCTGGTCATTATGATTCTGGATATTATAGTATCAACAACTATAAAAAAGGTACATTTTCTTTCTTTTCTTAGGTGTATTTTGTTACATTCAATGGATTAAAATAAACAGTATAGAAGTTAAATACTTCTTACTTATCAAGAGAATGAAAAAATTGCCAGGTAATGGGAGAAAGCAGTATCATTACAGAAAAATCAAGATTGCTCTGGGGATGAAGCATCAATATTTGGAGAACTAGTTGGCCTCTGTAAAGAAGGTCATATATTGTCATTTGGATGGTGGTGCATAGGTGTTGGAATGTGTACAGGAGTCGTATGGAATTTTCTGTTCTGGTACACTGAGGATATAGTAACAAGTTCTCAAATAAGATGGCTAAAAACCTTACAAGGCCTTTTGACTGGTATCCAGTGTTTTTTAGGAGAGCTACCTTTCAACTTTATTTCGGGAAGTGTATTACGAAAATTGGGCCATATAAATGTTATGAGTTTAGTTTTATTAATCTATGCAATTAGGTAGGACATATCATTATATAAAAATATTACATTATTTGATGTTTTACTATTACTTACCCTATTTTTTTTACAGATTTATGGCATACAGTACAATAACAAACCTTTGGTGGTTTTTAATTATTGAAATGCTTCATGGACCATCCTATGGTCTTTGCTGGCCCACTATGGTATCATACGGTGATAAAGTAACACCACCTGGTACTAAAGCCACTATACAAGGTTTTATTGGTGCTATATTTGAAGGAATAGGTTAGACGTAACAAATTAGTAGTATAATTTTCTTTTTTTCAATATATATATATATAATATTAATACTTTCAGGTGTATCGAGTGGTAGTTTAATATGTGGATGGTTATTAGACACGTACGGTGGTATTATAGCATTCAGAACTTTCTCAGTAGGTGCATTAGTATGGTTAACTATTTTTGGCCTACATCAGTTGTATCTTCGAAGATTTAAATCCTCGTCGAATTACACGGGACATAATCGTGAGTAACGATTATGAGAATATAGAAGTAATATTATGCACATTAATTACTTAAGGACAGGTTTCAGTTGAAGCAAAATATCCTTTTATTTGTTGATCTTTTCCAGATTTGGCAAATTATGCAAATCCGGATGATGCAATTCTTATGACAATGAGTCGCGAATTGCAAACTTATTAGTAAAAGACTATAAATTTTTCAAAATTTTATACATATACTTAGCTGGTTTACTTTGCAATGGCTCACGTAGCAGACATAGCAGCATTTCCTACGATTATAGTTCAATTCTTTATATATTGTGATTGATTCTTTTCCCGTATTTTAAATAAAGTATTAATTATTCAGTATTATGTATTCTCGTTATCATCGTGTTCGTTATGTATTCATCATTTTTACAATAAAATCGTTGTGTTTTGTCTTTTAATTAACAATTAACTTCTACCATATAAATGATATTCTAAATATCGATAAATAAAACATAACACAGAGATGTTAAGGGGAAGCAGTGCGAGGAGTGTATAATTTCAGTCGAAACTTAGAAAATTGCTCACAAAATATCTCAACCATTTATTCATCGTGAATTCACTTCTTTTGTTTTTTTTTAAGTGAAATTATATCATGCTAGTAATTTCATTAATTACCAGTGTAGTTTCAATTATTTATTGAAATCACACGATAAGAATATTTTTTTTATGTGTTTCGCAAATACGTCGATAAAAAGCTACAAAAAACTTTCTTCTGATTTAATACCACGGCACTGGATAACAGTTGCTCACGTGCGAAACAGAATAGCTGCATGCGAAAGGACTCAATAGTCGTTTTTGCGTAGTGTCAATTATCCGTAGAATTTCGCTTCTGTTAGCTTTGCCGAGATGGTGACATAGGCTGGCTCGGTACAGGCTCAACAATTGCTTGGAGATTAGGAATTTCGCCTGCTGCGTCACAGCAATCGTTCATTATAATCCCAGTGCCTGAATGAATAAAGGCAAGACTTCCTTCACTGGAGGAAGCTAAACTGGCTGACAGTGGAGGCGACCTTTCTTTAGGCGATGCTGATGAAGCTAGATTGTTCATAGTAGTGGTACTAGAAGTTGCTGGCTCTAATGTACCATGAAGTTCGAGTATACGACTTTCAAGAAGAAGATTAATCTCGGCTTGTGCTTTATACTTCGATTCAACAGCTTCCAGCTCAGCCTCGTGTTGATCCTTAGTTTCTTGTAAAAGTCGTTGCAACTCTACAAGTTGTGCTTCCTTTCGTGCATCCTTGCTCTCCATTTCATTCAATCGTATTTTTAAGGCTTCTCCAAGAGATGTTCGTGCTTCTAGTTGTCGCCGCAAGTCTGTAAACATTAAACGTTCACTTTCGATATTTTTCATTTTTAGGGACGCACACTTTGTAGAATTGTCGATGACCACAGAATGATCTAGGCTTAATAAATATATTTAATACACTTACTGTTCAATTCTTCCGCGTATGACCGTTGTATTTGTGTTACTTCTTGTTTACTCAATGGTGACAAACCTCCTGTAGTTTCTTGCAGCTTTGCCTGTGCCTACATATGGAAAATAGTTATACACACTCCAAGCGGACAAATAATTTTAAATAATTTATTGGAATATTACCTCTCCAAGCAAAAGATACTTTTTTTGCACGGTGTCAAGAGTACGTTCTAATTCATTGCTACGGTCTGCAGCTTTTAAAGCAACTCGTAATCGATGCCCCGCATCGAATAGAGATGCATCCGTGGAACGAATTTGTTGTTCACATGCCGCTATTTTCTTCTGTTCGTCTTTCAGTTCAACTTCTATAGCTTCAAGACGATCCTTCAAAATTTGATTTTGTCGTTCTTCTTCTACACACTGCATCATTTTTAATCACATTAATTGGTTGATTTTTAATTGTCACTAACCATACTGTTTAACAAGTTTAAACTTTCTTCAACTGATCGAGCAAACACTTTTGTTTGCTGAACAACTTTTTGCCATCACAATAATTTCTTTTTTTGAACTGTTCATGTTATGGATAAGTACCCCTTGTCTATATTAAAGTTTTTCTTGCAACGTAATTAAATTTTATCTCAAAACCTTATTTATTAAATCGAATTGAAGAATATCCGAAAGATTAATGAAAAGAAGGTTTCACAATTACTCTAAACAATACATACTATATAAACACGTTGAAATGTATATAAAGTTATAAAAGTATGTATCACTTTACACAAGAAAATATTTAATAAATTATCTGCAAGGAAGATCGTTTTAGATTTTACAAATAAAAGATAAAATATATTTAAAATATGAATTTGTTTATTTTCATAAATCAAATTCAAATCTAAGGATGGTTGAATAAACTATATTAAAATTTTGTAATCGGCCCAGGAATATCTATAAGCATCACATATTCGTTATCGAAGCAAAAAATATATGTTAAATAGTGTTAACCAAATTTTTACTGTTACCTTCGTTTGCCAGTGATGCAATGCTTCTTTATATCGTTCCTCAGCCTGTAAAGCTTCTCGTTTGTTACTCTCCAATTCTACTTTCAAGCCTTCCACTTCCTTCTCCATTAATTTTAATCGGTCGGTCTAGAGACCAAAAAGTTTATGATTAATGATAATCACAATGACGAAAAGCATTAATTTCTAAGATATAGTGTCAACTAACCAAAGCATAGTTATGTTCTTCCAACGCCCGTGAATCCCTCAATTTGCCAAGAAGTCTTCGATTACGTTCAGCATGAACCTCTCTACGCTGCCGTTCAAACTGTAATTGAATTTGCATTAGTTGTAGCAATTGACTTGCACATTCAACATCTAAGCCATCTTCATCTCCAACTTCATCTTCTCCATCGGTTTCTTTTCTTTGTCTTTGCTTGACGGCGATAGTTCCTTTAAAAGAATTGTCTAATTATATCTCCATGGAAAAGTAATTTACTATGTAATATTGTGTTCTATTTATTTTAGACTAACTTATTTTATCACCAGAAATATTACTAGCTCGTGTGCACGCTTCAACGTATCGATCAAGCATCGCCGTCGGTGATAATCTATTTTCGGTATTTTGTTGGTTACGTTTCTGTATATTCATTTGATTCTTCTGATCCAAAATTCCTGATAACAAGTACTCATATGGAAGTAGATCAAATGTTTGAGTTCCAGTGTCTTCCATTGTTTTCGCCCCTATCGATTTCAATAAATCTGTTTTATCGTTATAGATTTGTTTTTGGACTTCCATGTTTGGGCAAGATTTACTCTTCCGAACCTGTGCAGTATTCATTTTATGAAGCACAATTTTTGTGTTGGATTTTATATAAATTATTTTACCTTGCAAATAGAACTAGAGATTGAGTGTTGACCCGGAATTTGATATTGAGAATATAGACGTAATTGATAAATCCTTTCTGTTACTTCAACTAAAGTATTTTGAATTTTTTCATTGTGATGGTGTTGTCGATCTAAATATTTTGGACATTCTAGTTTTCCAGCAGCCTGTGAGCTTACAATTTCTAAAACCTACACAATATATGCAGATATATCTACCATTATTAATATGCAGCAATTTTACATACATAAATATAAAATATACAAAACCTCTTGATCTTCTTGCCATGAATCATTTTTTCCGTTTTGGTTTGTATCTATTTCTGCAAGTCTTGCATCCTCTTCCAGGTTAGCAGATGATTTTTGTTGTTCCTTGACAGCCTGTCTATCCGCAATGATTTTACTTATCTTGTGCGAAATGAATCCCTGTGCATTATTACCATCTCCAGTCCCAATTGTGGAACTAGTCGGTGTCGATGGTCGAGAATTTAATCCCACTGTGCCATTGCCAAATGTGCCTAAAGCACGAACCGCAGCTGATCCCACATGTCCTTGCCTTGTTGGTACTTTCCGTATATCCTGTGTAAAATTTAAAATAGAATTCTGATCATGCTCTTAATGTTTTTAAACGTACCTTAACGGGAGTTGTCTCGGGTGTAGCTTCGACCGCAGCTTCTGGTGGAGATGTGCCGCTTCTATTATTATTGGGTGTTGAAGGAGCGGATCGCTGTTCATGAGTTGTAGCTGGAAACGGAGGACTTTGAGGTGGCACTGTCATACTTGGGGACCAGAAAGTCTCATCTTCACTATTGGTAACTTCTGATGGTGGTAATCCTCCGCTAGTGTTTATTGGAGTACATGTAGAAGAGTGATCTAGAAAACATATCATCATGACACTTATAGATACATTTGTTTCAAGAAAAGAAACATACCTAAAGGTGGCGTAGAGCGTGAATTTACAATGTTGAATACTTCTTCTCGACACTTGTCTAACGTGAAACGACCGCATTCTGCCATAATATCGTGATGTTCCATTTTTTTCCATCTGAAACGCAATTGAATAAATACTAAGAATACCATTTATGTATACAGTGCTTTCCTTAAACTACACGAACATCTGGTTCTTAATTTTCATTCACAATGCAAATAATACCTTGCAGCAGAAATCTCTGTATCTTTGGATGCAGTAACAAGTAATGGATGCATACGCACTGAATCCAACATTGGTCTAATTGTATGTGTAAAAGTAGCAAACTGATCTCGTTGAATATATTGTTGTTTCAAATATGAAATAAAATTACATGGATACATAGCATACAGTCTGTGAAACAAACTATATAGGCCAACCTGAAATAAGACAATAACATGAATGGTTTGCTTATTTATCACTTGAGCAATGTGACGCACCTGTAGATGTAATAAATATAAATGATTTTTATCAATAGTTCCTGCTGTTGTGGTAGTAAAATGCATAGGAGAAGAGAACAAAGACAATGACTGATGATAGTAAGATGCTAGCCGGCCAAACACCTCAAAAATTTCTGAGAGATATGGCCCTAAAGCAGCAGGTAACATTGGTAACAACATTACTAAGAGAAGAAGCGCGCTCATGAGAGATAGTGTATCTGCTTCCATCTAAAAATATATTCATTAAAATATCATACATATTTGTTTGTAATGTGTATTTGACTAAAAATGAGATTTACTTTTAGTAACTTAAGTAAATCTCGAAATAATGCATGACTGGCAAGCTTATATAGCCATGTAGGTTGTCGACGAGCAATATGACCTAGCAAAGTAAGAGTCTGGATTCTTTGGCTGCTGCTACTTCCTTGTTTAGAAAGAGCTTCTGATAAACGATCTAAGAGATGTTTGTCATGTGGATCTCGAACACTGGCTAATACCTCGACAGCCCTTAGAGAATTTGTTGACAAGTAATAGTCAAAAAGTCCATTTACCAACCAATTGTCTTTTGCTAAAAAATGTATCAATTCATTTAAAAAACAAAGTTTCAAATCAATAGCATAACAATAAATCTATAATCTCACTTACTACTCAGAAAAAGTTCATGGAATACTTTTTTTATTTCTTCTACCTCCCCTAGTTTATTAGATTCTAATAGGTAAAAGAGATCTGTAGTGCTTATTGTGTTGATGTTCATCTTGACAGCAATGAGTATTCCTACATAGACAAATGAAACTTAGCTTGATCATCCGATCATAAAATGGAAGCAAAAATGAATTTATGAAGTTTAATTTCATCCATTTGTCATTTGTTATGTAGTGCAGACTTCCTAAGAAGCACAGGGATCCTTGGAACATCTGAAACGTGATAGGATACTTGGTAGAAATCAATTGAAAGAAGTACGTATTTTTTTAATAACTTTCATGACTTAAGAACTGTCAATTTGTACAACTTAGCATATGAATTTCCATTATAACTCTATACAAAACGATGTTAAATGATACAATTTTAAGGTTATAGAAATGGAAATTTTATGTAAAATATTGTTAAATTGACATTGAATATTTTATTCTAAATGTACAAAAAAAAAATTGTCGGTACGGCTCCGCGGTATTCGTAAAAGGTCATTCGATACGATTTTCGTAAAAGACTTCTGATAAATATGATTTAAGTTTTTAAATGGAATATCAAACGCTATGTTTGAACAGTAATACATCGGTTGAAATTAACAAATTAACTTACCTAAATTTCATCGAGTACTTCGACGAATCTCCGCAAGTTCTATGGCGAATGGTATACCATTGTAGATATGTACATACATTATATCGTAAACTGGTGCGCATTGATGTCGTTACAGCACAGAATACATATTTCTACAGAGACGAAACTTTTGTCATAGAATATTCTCATGGACACAAAACTTTTATCAGAATTTTCAATGTTCGTACTTATCCACAAATTGAATACGTAATTATAATACACATGTTGTACTTACGGCAGCGTTGCTACTTCTTTAGGAGAATTATTCGAAAGTTTAAAAGCGTTGTGATATTTTAAACGTAATATGGAATCCATAGTGAATAGACAACGATACTTAAGATTTTAAATCGTGTTAACATATGTATGCATATAACTATGTTCACAATGTCACGAAGCAAATATGTATGTATGTATGTACATATGTATGTACAATAAATTATTTTCACCGTGAATCCTAATTGGCTGATGACTTGTTCCTGTGACAGTGCTGCTCTCGTGGCGAAACAAAAGGAGTATGAGAACAGAGAGAAGGCTGAACCCAAGCTGGGTTACCAAGCTGAATCACAGCTTCTATCTTCTGTGTACAGTATGTAGGTACATACATACAAGATGTATGTACGAAGAGAATCATGCACCGATATCAAAAATGTACATACATAAACGGGATATG